CCCCCCCCCCTCCCTCAGACTATTTAGTTTACATAGATATACAGTGAAAAAAAATTAAGCCACCAAATGAAAGTAAAAATATTCTATCTAATTTTGAGTTGTAAATATTTTTTACGTATTCCTACAAAGACGACATTTATCTCCACCAAATCTCGGAAATAATACAAACTAATTAGAGGACATGTCGTCTTTCTTTTTTCATTTGACACATATGACGTTTTGCGCAGTTGGTCGATTTTTCTGTTGCCATCTATTGTACTTGACAACCTATTTGGTTTTATTAATGTTTGAATTTATATTTTTTAAAATGCAAATTGATCTTTTTCCCTCGACTAACATATTTTTGAAAATAAAAAAAATATCAAATTCTTTGATTTTTTGCTAGTTTTATTGATGTTTGAATTTATATCTAAATATCTTGACTAAGATATTTATATGTAGTTCTCTTCTGTTTTATAAAGATAAAATTATGTAAATCCTGTGAAGTAATGTTCTGAGTGTATAGTGGATTAAGGTACACTGTACAGCTTTTATACTTTCAACACATAGAGGTATATAGAGGTATAAAGAGGTATATAGAGGTATATATAGGTATATTGCGGTATATAGAGGTATATATAGGTATATTGCGGTATATAGAGGTATATAGAGGTATATATAGGTATATAGAGGTATATAGAGGTATATAGAGGTATATGGAGGTATAATGAGGTATAAAGAGGTATATAAAGGTATACAGAGGTATATAGAGGTATATGGAGGTATATAGAGGTATATAGAGGTATATGGAGGTATATAGAGGTATATAGAGGTATATAGAGGTATATTGAGGTATATAGACGTATATTTAGGTATATTTAGGAATATAGAGGTATATAGAGGTACATCGAAGTATATTTAGGCATGTTTAGGTATATAGAAGTATATAGAGGTTTATAGAGATATATAGAGATATAGAGAGGTATACAAAGGTATATATAGAGGTATATAGAGGTATATAGAGGTATATAGAGGTATATAGAGGTATATAGAGGTATATATAGGTATATATAGAGGTAGATAGAGGTATATAGATGTATATATAGAGATATATAGAGGTATACATATAGGTATATAGAGGTATACATAGAGGTATATATAGTTATATAAAGGTATATAGAGAAATATAGAGGTATATAGAGGTATATAGAGGTATATAGTTGTATATGGAGGTATATAGAGGTATATTGAGGTATATAGACGTATATTTAGGTATATTTAGGAATATAGAGGTATATAGAGGTACATCGAAGTATATTTAGGCATATTTAGGTATATAGAAGTATATAGAGGTTTATAGAGATATATAGAGATATATAGAGGTATACAGAGGTATATAGAGGTATATAGAGGTATTTAGAGAAATATAAAGGTATAAAGAGGTATATAGAGGTATATATAGAGGTATATAGAGGTATATAGAGGTATATATAGGTAAATAGAGGTACATAGAGGTATATAGAGGTATATAAAGGTATATAGAGGTATATACAGGTATAAAGAGGTATATAGAGGTATATAGAGGTTTATAGAGGTATATAGAGGTAAATAGAGGTACATAGAGGTATGTAGAGGTATATTTAGGTATATTTAGGTATATAGAGGTATATAGAGATATATAGAGGTATATAGAGGTATATAGAAGTATATATAGAGGTATATTGAGGTATATAGAGGTATAAAGAGGTATATAGAGGTATATATAGGTAAATAGAGGTACATAGAGGTATATAGAGGTATATAGAGGTATATAGAGGTATAAAGAGGTAAATAGAGGTACATAGAGGTATATAGAGGTTTATAGAGGTATATAGAGGTAAATAGAGGTACATATAGGTATATAGAGGTAAATTGAGGTATATTTAGGTCTATAGAGGTATATTGGAAAACTTCAGCTTTAAAGGAACTGTGTCATCATTTTATGTGACCCTCCATTTGTAAAGAGATAGGTATGATTCACAACAGTACCATTAAAAGCTTTTCTGCACAATAACAAAGAAGATATTTATGTTTTTTCCAAAAGAAATTGTTTTTGTTAAATTGCGGTTTTCTTTAAATAGAGGATTTAAATTACAATGGCAGTACCTTTTCTATATTTTATTTATCGATCAATAAAAGGAAATGGAAAACTGAACCTTTCATTGTATATTTATATTGTATATCAGATAAAGATATCATTAAATACTTACTATTGTATACATTTTTTAATGTTTCTAATATAATCTATATTTACTTTCTTCCGAAACTAATGTACTTCAATATCTTTATGTGTTTTTATATACACCTTTGTCTAGAACTATATACCTAGATTAGATGTCACATTTTAAATTAGATGCACATATATCCTTAAATTAGCTGTCACATTTGTTCAACAGTATTAGTTCTCTTTCTGTTAAATAAATAAAGTTGAAACAAGATGTCGACATTCTCTTAACATGATTACATTTATCATTATTCATTCTTGTAATATGTTTTTTAATTAAGCCCCGCCCCCCCCCCCATTCTAATCCTATATAAAAAAAATATTTTAAGAAAAAGGCCTTAGATAATAGGTATAGGGTTGAAATGCATGTTCAAAGCTTAATTTTTCAAGGCTAGCTTATTGAAGAAAAAAATTAGATTGATAACTTTAAAAGTTTGGGTGCTAGGGAGGGTTGAAAAAAAATGCCAAAAAAGGGTCAGAAAAATGAAAAAAATATTTTGTTTTCGTTTTAAACAAATATCAAAGTGTGACGCATGTTTCTACATCCATTTTTCAAGGGCTTTTCAAAAATAAAGTTTTTAGATCTGTTGCCTTAGTTACAAAAAAGTAAGGGCTTTTTAAAAGAAAAATTCACAGACCAGACTTTTTCCGCCCTTTCCCCTACCCTGTACATTAAAAAGTTTTTTTTACAAAAATCCTTTACATTTCTATTCATCAGAGTTTGTGGCAAAACACTTGATTTCTTTGTTTAAACATATGTTTACGCTTGTTAAACCATGATTAAACATTTGCATTCTGTATTGTATGTATCTAGTAAACTTGTAGAGTTTAACCTCAGGTTACTTTGTATTCTATTTCAAGTTCGGGAGGGGGGGGGGATAGAAGAGAGAAGGGAATAATAAATAGAGAAGAAAATGAGAGGAAGTCCATATTTTAAAGAAAATGTAAATTTTTTGATATGTCAGTTAAGAAAAACTTTAATTTTAACTTATATGCAAAAAGGGTTTAAAAGTTTCAAATCCATTTTTAACTTAACATCATTTTCGTATTACCCTTTTTAAAATTACACTTTGACACTTTCTGCTGCAGAAAAATAGAATTTTATCTTACTGATTGAAGGACCACATTTGATAAATCGCAAGAAGTAGTTAAACTTCGTAGACAAAGTTAAACTCTTTCTTTTGTATCCGGCTTAAGTTCAAGAAAAGTGATTTAAATTTGTCTAAGTAGTTCAGCTAGTTATTTCTATTCAATTAAAAAGTTCTAATTTGCGTGAGGTTTATTATATTTCCCTGGCCCTCGCACTGCTCTGTGTTGCCTAGAATATAGATACCGGTCACGTTGTGTAGACCGTTGATAGGACAAATCACGTGGTTTAGCTCCTCCCTGAACCATACTCAATGCTTTGTTTTCTCAACACTCAAAATAATCAAATTATATACGGTCGAGTCACAATTAAAATTAAATAAATTTTCTAGATACTTAATCTGAAAAAACTTCAAATTAACACCTTTCATGTATTAGAGTTTCATGCACGAAGATTTGTGAAGATTTAGAATCATTTTGAAAATAATTTTTTTTTCCAGAATTCCAATTCTCACTTTTGACAGATTCGAACTCAATTCTAACACGAGGATGGATGATTGATGATTGACAAGAGATGATCCTACAAAAATAAGTTTTTAATGAACTTAAAGAGTCCGACAACCAATATTCTGGTGACCCCTCCATTAAAAAGGCGAATGTTCAAACGGTACCCTCTAAGATTTCTATTTGAGCAACATGCTATTTATCAGCATCAGTGAGAAAAAAGGATTCAATTGTTACATTTCCTTCTTTATCTCCTGTTTTTGATATATCCGTAGGTCACTTTTATCGAAAATCGCAGTTCAAAATAAAGTAGGATAAATAAGAGAGATAGCCAGAGTATCTTTGTTTATCGAACATATCCTCCAGGAAACGAAGGTCACTTTGAACTTACGTCTACTGCGATTCTGTTTTGTGAAAACCATTTTTTTATGAAAAATAAAATAAAACATTTTTGCTTTCCTGAACAGTGTTGTATATATTGTTCTTTTCTCATCAAAATTAACAATATCACAAGCATAAGATTCATGGATTGTCGGGGAACCCTCCTGAAAAAAAAATTTCAAGAATTAATGTAAAATTTTTTAATTTATTTTCCTACCTGTATTTCTATGATATTTTCTGTTCTGCGAAAAAGTCTAAAAAAACAGAAATATTTGAGAATTGGCAACATTTCAATTATTGTGGCAATCTAGAAGCAATACCAAACTTTTATGTGATCAATCATGTATCTTTCCGACCATAAAATATAACACTAAAGAAAATATTGCGCGTAGGAAATTATTGAGTTCAGGAAAATATTGCGTTCAGGAAAATATTGCGCTCAGGAGAATATTGCGCCCAAGAAAATATTGCGTTCAGGAAAATATTGCGCCCAGGAAAATATTGCTCTCAGGAAAATATTGCTCCCAGGAAAATATTGTACTCAAAAAAATATTGCACTCAGGAAAATATTGCGCTTAGGAAATTAAAGAAAAAAAGATCAAAGCCAATAATTTTAATATTAGAAGCTTATCGAGCCTTTTCGAGAAAGGAGGTACAAAACACCGGAAAACAAAAAGACCAACACTTCAACACATCTCAAAAAAAAAAGAGTAAAAACACCCGGCTCGATGTGAAAACAACTAAAAACACCCATAGTGTGAATTACACCTAGTTTTCAAAACAAGTAGAAATAGAATAAATTTCAAAATCATAGCAACGAAAAAATGTGATGTTTTCTAAAGAGTAATATTTAACTTTGTATTTAAAAAAATTTAAATTTTATCAATTCAACGTTTAAAATATATAGCAGTTTTTTACTTTTGAATAAAATTTAGGTGTCATTTACTTGTACGTAAAATTTAGATATTTTTATGTTTTGTAAATAAGGTGTTCTGATACTTTGGGTGTGTTGTAAATAAGGTGTTCTGACGCTTTGGGTGTTTTGACATTTAGACCATTTAAAATTTGGGTGTTTTAAAAATTTTGTAGTTAAGTTTTTAGGTGTTGTGTACCCACGTTTCAAATCTATAAAATGCCATTTTGTAAAACATAAATTCAGACATCTCTTAAACACCTTCGGTTTATGGCTCATAAAAGATAATAGAAGGGATTTATGAACAATTTTGTCTGTGTTAAATATCTTGAAGTTGTTGAAAGAAAATTATTAAATTTACTTTATCCCCAGCAACTTAGAAAAGTTTTTTTTCGGATAAATTCTTTTTTTCTAATCCTTATATTTTAACAACCAGGTGTCGGATACTTTTCACATTTTCAACTATAAATTCTGCAACATCTAGTAGTTAAAGTTTGATTTCAGGTTGCATAGATGGATGAAAAAATTAGAGTTTGAGGCATATTTTTAATTTTAAAAATAAAATAGTCTTTCTAAGACTGATATGTTACGCAGCATAAATTATCTTGAATTTTAAATTAAAGGATAATTGATTCTTTGTCACATACTCTAAATTTGTAATCCCAATATTATTTCAAACCATAAACTGTGTCATTTAAAAATTTTTAAGAATTCAAAAATTTGAGTTTGAATAAGACTCAATTTCTAAAGTACATCTTGACAAATAGCATATACTTGGCTAGCTTGTTCTTGATATAAACCATTAAACTGTCATTAACTTTTCAAACTTCCATCTTTGCACTCTTAAATTCAATTATGAAACTGCAACTGTAAACTGCAATTGTAAACTACAACTGTAAACTCCAACTGTAAACTGAAACTGCAAACTGAAACTGTAAACTGCAACTGTAAACTCCAACTGTAAACTCCAACTAACTATAAACTGCAACTGCAAACTGCAACTGTAAACTGCAACTGTAAAATACAACTGTAAACTACAACTCTAAACTGCAACTGTAAAATAAAACTGTAAACTAAAACTGTAAACTCCAACTGTAAACTCCAACTAACTATAAACTGCAACTGCAAACTGCAACTGCAAACTGCAACTGTAAACTGCAACTGTAAAATACAACTGTAAACTACAACTCTAAACTGCAACTGGTAAACTACAACTGTAAACTAAAACTGTAAACTGCAACTGTAAACTCCAACTGTAAACTCCAAATGTAAACTCCAACTGTAAACTCCAACTGTAAACTCCAACAGTATTTGTTTTGTTATTTGACATTTTTTTTTCTTCATTTTTTTTCTTAAAAATTTATTTCAAACATTTTTTCTCACAGGCAACACCGGGCTCTTCAGCTAGTGAGTTTATATATTTAGAGGTTATTATAAAATATCAATTTCAAAATGCCACAATAATGCACTCTTCTACGGTAAATTAAAATTCAGTAAGTCTTATCTTTAGAGCCCATTTTTACCCATGAAATAAAAAACTTTTCGTATTTGCGATTTAGTAATTTTTTTATTTTTATTTATACCATTTACGTATTTACGTTATTTTTGACGGAGTTTAATTAGACATAAAAATAGGACTGTAATATTACGAAACAGACAAAATCTACAGGGTTACCCACAAAGAATGAGACGATTAAAAACTCTAAAATATATCGATTTAAAGATTTTATTTTTGGTTTCTGCATTAATTGAGTATTCTCATGGTTTAATAAATGATTAAGTACAGAAATAAACCAGTTTTGGTCTACAAGGAACCCTGAATAGAATAAAATGGATTAATCATAATCCGTATAATAGTTATTGAATTCAATATTTCTAGTTTCCTGACACATTTATACATTTGATCACATCCAGCAACAGTTTTAGCGACAAGTTTGACATATCCCTCATCTTCCTCAACTATAGATACACACCGGGTCCGGGACAATTCAAAACTTCTAAACAAATTATTATTAAAAGTTGAAAAAAATTTATGCAACAAACACATAACAAATACCATTGAATTGATATATCCAAATTGCGTTGAATAAGATTAAATATTTCAAACACTTTTGATCTTAATGCTTAAAATCAATCCACTATTACGTGTAGTGAACTGCATGTAGAAGACATCTTTCTTCTTAAAAATTGAGAACTTCCGATCGGAGTTTTTGATCGAAAGCGAGTGACAGTTAGATTTCTGCATGAAGCGATATTTCATTCGGGATTAACAAACAAGTTTAAAGAGTACTGTTGTGAATCTCTGATGGCATTGTCTGAACAAATGTATTAGGTATTATATCAAAGGGTTGAAAAATTTGTCTTTCAATTTATCTTTAAAATTGTAAATCTAAGAGGTTAGGGATTACATTGCACCACAAGAATTTGGACCAGTAATAGCCTTGTCTTGTCTTGTCTTGTCTTGTCTTGGCAAACCTTTTCTTAATTCATCAATCTTCTTTTCACTTTATCTAATCCTGGTCCCGGGGGCGGGGGGGGATCTTTTTTTCACTTTATCTAATCCTGGTCCTGGGGGCTGGGGGTTGGTAACTTTTCTTTTCACTTTATCTAATCCTGGTCCCGGAGAGGGAAAGGGGGTAATCTTCTTTTCACTTTATCTAATCCTTGTCCCGTGGGGAGGGGGGATCTTTTTTTCACTTTACTAGTTTAATCACACTGAACTAGACAGAGAAGGAGAGGTTGAATTTATAATTTATGCGAAATCACTGGAACGACTTTAAATAGATGTACATTGTACATAGCTCATATAGTTGATTTTATGTACAAGTATGAAAAAGCTATTTTATCCGGCAACAAATTAAAAATTCAAAACATTTCAATAAGTTATGATTGAAAACATATTAGTTCTTATGTGAAATTTACTTTAGTTTGACGTGAATATAGATCAATAATAATATTGAATATGTTCTATATAACATCGATTAAGAATACACTAGGGGAGAGTTGAGATATATTTACATAATAAAACTAAATAATTAGCTTACATTACAATTATGAATTAATGATACATGATACTTATTGGACACAATGGACTAGTGTATTCATAATAGTTGATATGGAAGATTATTGGACAC